TACATGTGAGAGCCACCGCGCCTGGCCCCCTCAAAAAGCAGTTTTCTACTTTCAATCTTTATTTGTAGAAATAGATTTCTGATTACCCTCGAATGAGTCACAAACTCAAATTCCTATAGAGGCCAGTCAATTGAAAAGAGTATAGCCATTTAAATAATTTGCCTGTAGAACACATAATATGTGCTCACCTCTTTAAAACTTTCAGATATTTCAAGAAATTCTGGAAACTTTTTTGTTTTGTTTTGTTTTGTTTTGAGACGGAGTTTTGCTCTTGTCACCCAGGCTGGAGTGCAGTGTCGCGATCTCAGCTCACTGCTGAGATCAAGAGATTCTCCTGTCTCAGCCTCCGTAGTAGCTGGGATTACAGGCGCCCACCACCATGCCCAGCTATTTTTTTGTTTTTTTAAAAAATAGAAATGGGGTTTCACCATATTCACCATATTGGCCAGGGTGGTCTTGAACTCCTGACCTCAGGTGATTCATTCACCTTGGCCTCCCAAAGTGTTGGGATTACAGACTTGAGCCATTGTGCCCAGCCTGGAAATTTGTTTTCTAGTACAAAGTTTTCTGATTTTCATATGTTAGCAATTAAGAATTTTGTAATCACTCTGAGTCAAACAAAACCCGAGTGGGGAGTCGAATATAGTCCATAGAAGGCCAATTTCCAAATCTATGTGTTTTATCTTCTGATATGCTCTCCCAGGAGGCTTATTGGGAGTTGTTAAGAATTACTTTAAAGGTAGTTTTAATTTTTAAAGAGAACTTTTTTCTTTACATTCTTGCATGTGTTTGATCTAAAACAGTAGATGTCAAAGTATGGGTCATTTACCAAAAAAGTATGCAGACTAGTCTGTAATACAATGTATGCACAAACAAGTTAGCCTCTGGAACATTCCCGTCCAGCTTTGGGGGAAATAGGCAGATTTAGTGGGAGTGACATCATTGTAAGAAACTCATCTACTCTTAATTGAACAGCTTAAAGGCGAAGCTATAACTGGCAACGCTGTCTTCCTCATCTGTACACTAAACTGACAGAGGCCACCAGCCATCTTGGAGTTGGCAAGAGAGACTGAAAAAAACCTCACAGAAGATGATATCTAATGTCTGGTTCATTCCTTATTCTTTCCAGAAAAGCATTGCCTCACTCTTACTAATAGTTCCTCTGCTATGGCACAAATGACATATAAATATATAATAAATCAAAGGACCCTGGCTTTTGCTTTCTTCCCCACTCCCCCTAACCACCCCCCGTCTATGGTAGAAGAAAGAGGAAGAGGCACAGACTGAGTTCTTACTTTGTGTATTCTCTCCACAAATTTTGAGAACTGTAGGTCCTCTAGTAATACTCGTTAGGCAAGAATTTTGTGTAGTAAAAAATACTGTCATTCGCAAACATTTTTGGTCATTTCTGTGGTCTTAATGCTAGTTCAAAGGTGTGTATGTGTGTGTGCGTGTGTGTTTGGAGATCAGTACTACATTTAAATAAACCACCATTTGTGAGATTTCACATAAAAATCTGGATTCTCAGCTTCTTTTGGAAAATGGAAGGAAGTTTCCCACATACGATAAGCTGGAGCTGAACATTAGCTAACCCATCTAGGAGAATTAGCCACTGAATTTATCACTTTCCTTTTATTTTGTAAACCTCTAGTCACTTTTGCTCTCTATGCCTGAGGTTCCTCATCTGTAAATGCAAATTATGATCATACCAACCGCATTGGGTTGTTACACGGATTAATTTTTAAATTAATAAATATATCAAGCACTTAAAATAATTCTTAGCATATGTTAAACAATCAATGCTAGTTGTTACTGCTATGCCTTTTGTATGTACAAGGTTTATTGTGCCGCTTTAGGGGTTGACTAACAAAAGAATGAGAAAATAATCACTTAGAACGATGCCAATGTCAAAGGGTAGAAAGAAAATTAAGCACAGATTCAAAGAGAAAAAGTGCAGTCCCAAGTCTACTCCTGTTACCTTGAACAAGTCTCTTAATTTCTCTGGGCTTTAGTGTCCTCATTTATAAAAAAGACAAATACATGTGTTGTCTTTAGAGGTCCGTTTCTGAAATTGAATATGATTGAAGGTTTTGGGGGAAAATTACAAGAAGTCATGCTGTGACAAAAGATGCCAAGAGGGATTAATTTTCTCCTTGAAAAACTGAATACTCTTTCAAAAATTTCTTAATGAAACTTCATGTTTACTATACTTCATATAGATTTAAACTATGATGCAGTGTTTTTCTTATGCTACCAGTTAAACACTGTTTCTTTTGCTCCATTCCTCCAGGAAAGAAAGTTAGAAATCTGGTCTTTGCTCAATAACAAGGAAATTCATATTCATTTCATTGAATGCATAAGTAGTAAAAGGGGATGTCAAGGCCAGGAAGCCGGAGAAAGCATTCTTGTTAGAGTAAACAATGCAAAATTTACTCCTATGTTGGCAGGTCAGGCAAAACTGAGAAACGTGGCATGTTTAATTGTGAATGAGAGAAAGTACATATCTTTGTTTACAAATCTCACTTACATGATAGTAGTCTCCCCCATCTTTCAACTGTATTAAATGTTATGGATTTGGGACTATCTTTGTATAAGACTATAATCAAATTTTGATTTTAGTACCATATTATACGATACACAAAATTAGTTAACTTGATTCTTTGGCTAAGTTTAGGGTATATCAGTTGGCTTTTGGATATACATTAATTGTTTTAGATCACCAAATAGTTTTTTTTTAATTATACTTTAAGTTCTAGGGTACGTGTGCACAACATGCAGGTTTGTTACATATGTATACATGTCCCCTCCCCCAATCCCACAACAGGCCCTGGTGTGTGATGTTTCCCTTCCTGTGTCCAAGTGTTCTCATTGTTCAGTTCCCACCTATGAGTGAGAACATGCGGTGTTTGGTTTTTTGTCCTTGCGATAGTTTGCTGAGGATGATGGTTTCCAGCTGCATCCATGTCCCTACAAAGGACATGAACTCATCCTTTTTTATGGCTGCATAGTATTCCATGGTGCATATGTGCCACATTTTCCTAATCCAGTCTGTCATTGGTGGACATTTGGGTTGGTTCCAAGTCTTTGCTACTGTGAGTAGTGCTGCAATAAACATATGTGTGCATGTGTCTTTATAGCACCATGATTTCTAATCCTTTGGGTATAGACCCAGTAATGGGATTGCTGGGTCAAATGGTATTTTTAGTTCTAGATCCTTGAGGAGTTGCCACACTGTCTCCTACAATGGTTGAACTAGTTTACAGTCCCACCAACAGTGTAAAAGTGTTCTGTTTCTCCACATCCTCTCCGGTACCTGTTGTTTCCTGACTTTTTAATGATCGCCATTCTAATTTGTGTGAGATGGTGTCTCATTGTGTTTTTGATTTGCATTTCTCTGATGGCCGGTGATGATGAGTATTTTTTCGTGTGTCTGTTGGCTGCACAAATGTCTTTTTCTGAGAAGTGTCTGTTCATATCCTTCACCCACTTTTTGATGGGGTTTTTTTTCCTTGTAAATTTGTTTGAGTTCTTTGTAGATTCTGGATATTAGCCCTTTGTCAGATGAGCAGATTGCAAAAATTTTTTCCCATTCTGTAGGTTGGTTGCCTATTCACTCTGATGGCAGTTCTCTTGCCGTGCAGAGGCTCTTTAGTTTAATTAGATCCCATTTGTCAATTTTGGCTTTTGTTGCCATTGCTTTTGGTGTTTTAGACATGAAGTCCTTGCCCATGCCTATTTCCTTAATGGTATTGCCTAGGTTTTCTTCTAGGGTTTTTATGGTTTTAGGTCTAACATTTAAGTCTTTAATCCATCTTGAATTAATTTTTGTGTAAGGTGTAAGGAAGGGACCCAGTTTCAGCTTTCTACAGATGGCTAGCCAGTTTTCCCAGCACCATTTATTAAATAGGGAATTCTTTCCCCATTTCTTGCTTTTGTCAGGTTTGTCAAAGATCAGATGGTTGTAGATGTGTGGTATTATTTCTGAGGGCTCTGTTCTGTTCCGTTAGTCTATATCTCTGTTTTGGTACCAGTACCATGCTGTTTTGGTTACTGTAGCCTTGTAGTCAGGTAGTGTGATGTCAGGTTTGTAGTCAGGTAGTGTGATGCCTCTAGCTTTGTTCTTTTGGCTTAGGATTGACTTGGCAATGTGGGCTCTTTTTTGGTTCCATATGAACTTTAAAGTAGTTTTTTCCAATAATGTGAAGAAAGTCATTGGTACCTTGATGGGGATGGCATGGAATGTTTTTCCATTTGTTCGTGTCCTCTTTTATTTCGTTGAGCAGTGGTTAATAGTTCTCCTTGAAGAGGTCCTTCACATCCCTTTAAGTTGGATTCCTAGATATTTTATTCTCTTTGAAGCAATTGTGAATGGGAATTCACTCATGATTTGACTCTCTGTTTGTTTTAAGTTGGAAAGGACCTTAGAAATGATTTACTCTAAATTATGCTCTGGTGACATCCTGATAGCCTATGAAAGTGTCTAGAAAGTAGAATTCGTGACATTTACATCAAAGAAAACCAGAGTGGGGAGTCGAATATAGTCCATAGAAGGCGAATTTCCAAATCTATGTCTTTTATCTTCTGATATGCTCTCCCAGGTGGCTTATTGGTAGTTTTATCTTCTGATATGCATTCCCAGGTGGCTTATTGGCTTATAAGAGCATTTTGACATAATTTTGGATGATAGTTTATGAAGGGATTTAAACAATTTGTAACAGATGAGATAGAAGGTAGCTTTCAATGAAATTTAACCCAGATAGTCTCAGGATAAGTGGTGCTAATGGGAATTTTTTTAAAGAACGTGGATAAGTAATTTTCTGTATTTATTAAGTGGTCAAAATGACTATATATATATGTGCATGGACTGTCATGGTAGTATGTTGGGATGAGGTATAAGAGTTGAAAGTTAGTTTTAGTATAGGATTTTAAGAACAATTGTAAGGAAGCTAGTCATGGAGGAGTAACATTTTAAACTTGAATTTCATTTTAATCTGTTTCAGAGACCATCATGCAGACATCAGAGACTGGGTCAGACACAGGCTCGACAGTGACCTTACAAACTTCGGTGGCTAGTCAAGCAGCAGTGCCTACGCAGGTGGTACAGCAAGTACCAGTACAACAACAGGTAAGGAGCTGCTGAACTTAGATAAGATGCTGTTACTTTCATTATATTGGCTGTCCAACATACCTGTATCCAAAGATTATTTGGACTTTACTGTCTTGCTATGACAGGCATACTTCAGTTTTTAGGTTCATTCAGCAAATGTTTCTTGAGCATTTCTTGGATATGCCAGCTTCTTTCTGTGCTAGGCTATAGGGATACAAAAATGAATACTTAAGTTACAATCTCTATTCTCAAACAGCCTGTCTTGACTCCTGAAGTGAGTTATTTTTTCTGACATGACCACCCAAAGTTTTCTCCTTCTCTTCGCTCCCCATTGTTTATCACAACTTTCTATTTCTTTCGTATTGAAATATCAGCAATATTATTCATTATTAGGTGGCTCACAGTAGTACTTAATAGGATGTATGTACCTTCCAGGCAGGGATTTTGCCTTTGTGGTATTTTAGAAAGTGCCTTGGCATTAGGTGGCTGATAAATACTGTTGAATGAAAATAGAATAATCTTAAAGGTCTGGAGATCTGACTCATGCCATTTAAAAGTTGGAAGCGAATTTATCATCAGATATTTACTACAGGTCTTATTCATATGCAGGGCAGTTGACTTGTTTTGGAAAGATACTGACAAAGTAATGCTGTTCATGTATGTGGATTGTGAACACACTGGCCTGTGATTTCTTCTAAAGAGTGGTGAGAACATAAGTGAGAAACATCATATGTCATATAACATTATCTTGAGATTCAAGATTTGCCTATAATTTCTTAGTATTAAAGAGACTCTTTAGCAAACGTTGCTCTTACAATTATAAATAAGTGGTTAGGGAGAAGGATATAGATGAGTTATAGATGATGAAGGACATTTTTGTAAATGATAGATACAAGGTTATATTCTTTAAAGGATGTAGAATTGGGTTGGGCAGGGAGTGTGGTGGAATTATACAGAAGTCATTGGCTTTTGGGATAAGTAAAGACATCTGAAATAATCGTTTTGTGTTTTATTCTTTTTGTTTGTTTGTTTGTTTGTTTTTTGATATAGGAGTCTTGCTGTCTCCCAGGTTGGAGTGCAGTGGCGCGGTCTCGGCTCACTGCAAGCTCCGCCTCCCGGGTTCACGCCATTCTTCTGCCTTAGCCTCCCAAGTAGCTGGGACTACAGGGGCCCGCCACCACGCCCGGCTAATTTTTTGTATTTTTAGTAGAGATGGGGTTTCACCGTGTTAACCAGGATGGTCTCGATCTCCTGACCTCGTGATCTGCCCGCCTCGGCCTCCCAAGGTGCTGGGATTACAAGCGTGAACCACTGCACCTGGCCGTTTTGTGTTTTTTAGACATTAAAAAAAAAAATCTTAGCATACTCTACCATATATACATACACATCTTTCCCATCCCACAAGCTCCCAGTTTATTCGATTGAACTATATGTAGTTTTGATCTTTAAACAGTGTTACATGTTTCAATCTATTGCTTATGCTTCTTTTATTTCTTTTAAACATATTCTGTCTTTTTTAAAATTACAGATCCAGAGGATACATATGCAGGTTTGCTTTATGGATAAATTACATAATGGTGGGATTTGGGCTTCTAGGGTACCCATTACCCAGATGGCGAACATTGTACCCAATTGGTAATTTTTCAACACTTATCCCCTTCCCACCCTCTCTCCTTTTAGAGTCCCCAGTATCTATTATTGTCATTTGTATGTCCATGTGTACCCATTGTTTAGTGCCCACATTATTGGTTATGTTTTTATCTTTTTATATATTTTTTAACCATTAAAAATGAGTCCTCAAAATGGTGATTTAAAAGGCTCTGCTATTAGTAATGCCATCACCAATTTTAAGACTCCAAACCTTATTGAGAAAGGGATAGCTTATGTCATGTCATCCAAAGAGCAAGTAAAGAACAATGCAGACATTGTTATAACTAACTTTAAAAAGATAACAGTTATCTTTTTAAAGGCAATGTTGAACACTTAACTCACTCTGGTTTTCATCTCTATGGAAGAATGGTTTTGAGAGAGTGCCTATCACTAACAAGAGTGTGATGAAAATGGTGTTCCTATCTCCAGAAGGTGCCTTCTGTAAACATGAAAAAGTTTTCTTTTTATTTAATTTACATATTATCAAATATTTACACCAGGTCTTAATAGGTCATATAATAGTGTAAAGAGTCGAAAAATTTCGCACGGTTTGTTATTTTAAAAATATGGTCTTTAACCTTCCCCGTTCTCCCACAAAGCACTCCTCATAGACAACTACACTGACTTCTTTAAACTTGTTATTTTGATATTTACTTCCATTTACTTAAAGATAATATACATATTTTACTGCATCTTGAATTTTTAGTTTTAAGCATTTAAAGCATTATCTTAGCATACTCTTCTTCTGGTCCCTAACACACAAACACACAACCTGACCCACCCACCCACCCTTCAGATTCCTCATGTTCTTGACAGATCGAACCATATTTTTTTTATGTACAAAAACAATAATTTCATATGTCTCAATCTATGTTATGTTTTAATTTTAGTAAATAAGTATTCAGTGCTTACACTACCATGATATATAAATGCTTTTCAAATCCAGCCTTGTAGTAAGCATTGATTACTTTCCTTTCCCGTAAAACTCATTTATTTTTCTTAGATTTAATGATTGTGTTTCTTCTGGTTTGCAGGATTGCCATGGACAAGCCAAACACCAATTTGATTTCTGATCTTTTTTATGTGGTTTATGTGATTTTTTTTTTCTCTGAAACTTTGTAGAATATTTGAAATTCCAGTTTTATGAACTTTTTGATGATGTGCATTGATGCGGGCCTATTTTCAAGTACTGTGCTAGAACCTTTGATGGGCCATTTCAGTCTGGACATTCATGCTTTTTCATTTCTGGGAAACTTTATTCAGTTTTTTCATTTATGATTCCCTCCCCCTCTGTTTTCTTGTGTTTTTCACTTTCTGGACTTTTTTTGTTCTATTTTCAATTTCATTGTTCAGCCTTTCTATTATTTTTAAATTCTATCAGTTTTTTTTTTAATTTTCAAGAACTTTAAAAAAGTTCCTGTGTGTTCCTTTTCGTAATATTATGTTTTATTTCATGGTTTTCTTTTTCCTCTCTGAAGATACTAATTTGTTTTAAGTTGTTGAATTTTTTTTTCTCTTTATCTTGTCTCTTTTAAGGTACCCTATTCTGTTTTCTTTTGTTTTTTACTATGTCTCTGTCTTTCATGTTAACAGCTTTTCTCTGATGTCTGATAATCTGTGGGTGTTTATCCATATTTTAAAGTGTGGGTATAAGATACTGATTTGAATGTATGAGTCAGTCTTATTGACTTCAAAGTGGGGTCATCTCACTGACGAGGCTTTTTAATTAAGAACCCTCTGATGTTCAGTATCTTTGTTTTTCCTCTTTGGCTGGTCAATTTTTTTAAGAAGACTTGTCCAATTTCCTGCCTAGTGGGGAAATGCTTGGCTGCCTGGGAGCTGAGTTGGGGAAAGAGTTGGGTATTTATTGCACTAATTTAATTAATCTTTCTCTTTTTTCATGTGATATTACCCGTGCTTGGTATTCCTCAATGCAGAGATTAAACCAAAGAACAAACGCCAAACATTTTACTAAAGTTAGGGAAGGCCAGTCACCTTACTGCATAGGGATTGGTAGAGGGAGCCTGATTGCTTCTTAAATAGAATCACGTTTTATATTAAATACATATATTAAAAACAAAAAATTGGATTTCTGTCAGAAGTGGAAAATCAGTGTCACTAACCATAAATAGAAGATTATACATACACACCCTCACCACCCCCCCGCAACACTTCAATCTTGACCTCATAAAAATTAATCTTGTGTACACCTGGACCACACTTCGGAAAAAACATTGTACTGTACCATATGGCTCACCCCTAGCAGGCATATTTTTCACTTCCTCAAGTTAGCTTTTTCTTCTGGGACATTCAAGGCAGGTGATACCTTATATTCCTTTACACCAAGCAAAGAAGGTGAGAACTCTCATTTTCTTTTTGTCAACAAAGTGTTTTATTTCACGCAGTTTTTTGTTGTGATATTTGCCTGGAGACCCTTGTTATGTTGTCCTCCCAGAATTATTTGGAAGCCTGTTTTTCTTCTTTGTCATTATTATTATTATTTTTTCTTAAGTAGAACAGTGTTAGGTTTAAGCTCCCCAGTATATTCCAGCGGTATCCCTGTGGATGTAAATTGTCTATAACTGACAAGATTAGTGCTGTAATTCCTTACTCCTCTGACATGCCTATAATGTTTGAATTGTTAATGTGCTGCTGTTATCTTGGGTTTGCAAACTATAGTAAAATCCTTTAAAAGTTTCTAGCTTTTGTTACTGACCCGTAATGGATATAGCAATCATGATATTGATGTCAAAGGTAGTTACTTCTATTGATTCAATTTTTCATTGTAACTTTGCTTTGTCGATTTTGACATAAAGAGAAAGTTTATAGCTAATGTTTTAAAATTTTGAGACATTTCAATATTATATATAGGTTGGTGCAAAAGTACTTGTGGTTTTTGCCATTAATTTTAATTTAATTTTTGCACCAACCTAATATACTAGAATGATGAGTGTATTAGTCCACTTTCATGCTGGTAATAAAGACATATGTGAGACTGGGTAATTTATATAGGAAAAAGCACTTAAGGGACTTACAATTCCATGTGACTGGGGAGGCCTCACAATCATGGCACAAGGCAAGGAGGAACAAGTCACGTCTCACACAGATGGCAGCAGGTCAAGAGAGAGAGCTTTTGCAGGGAAACTCCCATTTCTCAAACCATCGGATCTCATAAGACTTATTCACTATCATGAGACCAGCACAGAAAAGACCTGCCCTCATGAGTCAGTTACCTCCCACAACATGCAGGAAATGTGGGAATTACAATTCAAGATGAGACTTGGGTGGGGTCATAGCCAAACTATATCATTCCACCCCAGCCCCTCCCACATCTCATGTCCTCAAATTTCAAAACCAATCATGCCTTC